GCAGGAATGGCTCTGGGATATGGCCACCCTGCACCACACTGCAGGCTGCTGTACCAGCTCACCCGCTGAGGCCACCAGTTACACCAAGTAATAAGCAGAGCTCTTGCTGTGACTCCTCCCTGTGTTCGTGCAGGTAGTACCAATTAGCTGTACTGCTCCATACTTAACATTAAGATAACTCTTCCGAGGGACAAGTCACGCTTGTAAAGCCAAGGAACTCTTACAGGAGCAACCAGACCAGTACGGGAAGTGACAAACACAATTTTATTGGACAAAATAAAGACTTATGGTTCCATATGAGAAAGACTGTACCCTTCTGGTATGGTCAGCTAACTAAAACCAAATTACTTCGTTTTCTTGTTACCTTCCTCCTAGAGAATTAACTCTGAGGATGAATTCTGGCAAGAGAACTGCAATTCAGTTCTTAGCATTTCTAATGAAATTCTCTGTTACCTGTCGTTTTCAACCACAGACCTGCCAAAAGCAAGCCTGATGCCTAGCTTCTGGCCATCCAGACATTGGTAGGGCTACACAGTGAAAGACAGGGAAAGACAAAGTGAAAGGCATTACTTACCTTTGCAGGTCATCATTTCTTTTTAATGACCTGGCTCTACAAACAGTTTGCATGAAAGCGATACCTTTTTTTTTCTTACTCTTCAAAGCAGAGAACACACCAGAAAGTGAAACCTAATATAACTGTCTGGTTTTAGAAAGGCTTAGTTGTGGACATCTAGAGAACATCGATCATTTCCTTTCAATGTTTGCTACTCTTTTCCTTAAAGAAAAAGGTACGCTAACAAATACAGAATCACATTCCATCCGTATGTCATCTTAGTACAAAGCTGTTATCTTTACGAATTTGGTACTTCTCATAAATGGCAGAATCCATGTCCTCTTTCCACCTTCCCGGCCCCACCTTTCTCTGTCTCTCTTTGGAGGCCTTTCCATCTGCAAGAATGGTTTTTCAAGTACCATTCAAAACTCAGTGTTTGTTTCAATGCGAGCAAGGGGCATTTATGCTGCTTTGCACCATCATGAGGAAAGCAGGAGATCTGACCTCTGACCGTTCGCTGTCGCTCTTCAGCACAACCCGTTTTACGACTTTGGAATAGCCATCTCCTTCTTCGATGGCGACAGGTTTCTGTGGCACTCCTTGCATTACAACTTCCTCTTTTTCTGTGCCATCTGGAGAGACGTACCGCCGGATGATCTTTCTCGTGACCTGAAGAAGGAGGTAGAGCTTTGTCCCAAAACACTTAACAAAACCATTCTCCCTCTTACTATTAGCTGTAACGCTAAATGATCTTGCGACTCAAACCAATTCTTAGCACATTGCAATCTCTCGCAAAGAGAAACTCTGGTTCCTTCCACGCTCTACTCTTAAAATTTTGCCATGAATGTGGATCTTGGACAATAAGAAGGTAGCAAGGGGTGTAACTGACAATACCTTCTTTACCACTGTGTGGCCATGTTCATCTGTGTATTGCTCTTCTGTGACTGTTTCTGGTGGCATTTCAGGCATACTATCAGCCTGTACGACAAAGAACAAAGCTTTATGAAGCGAGGCCTTCATATGGGTAAGTTTATTTAAACTTAAGCACTGTCAAAATCAGTTAATTGATTCAAGAATGGAAAACCAAAAACTACTGAGAAATGTTAGAAAAAACGTTTGTTCTGCAAATAAATACTTAGAAAGGCATGCAAAGAAAAGCAATGCCACAGTGGCCAGGCAAATGTATGTTAGCTGACAGTGTCGTGTGTGGGGCTGAGAAGCCTCCATGGGCCTCCGACTGAGGAATCTAACATAATTCAGCATTGAGTTAGCAGTATTACTGTAATCCTCCCTTTAAGAAAAGGTATCAGAATGCGTTATGTGAAGCCCATGCGTTAGTCAGGAGTGTTCCAGCGTCAGATGCAGTATCAGCCAAGCGGTTGTCCCAGCAGCAGACCTAAGGGTGTCACCGAGGCCCAGTCACCATTGGCTCATGCAGTCTTTCAACACTCAGTACCTGAATAATCACCCGGCGACGAACAACCCTGGTAGTGACCATCTCATCCTCGTCTGAGCTTATCTCCAGCCTCCCTAACTCCTCGGCTATTTCCTAGTGGAAGTACAGAAGCGGCGCTCTGGTGTATGTGGTTCTAGGAGTACTGACTCATTTTTATCTAAAACTCTGCTTTGGGGCGGGAGGCTTTGGCCACTCAACTATACATTAGCTCTTCGTTAGCACAGTGGGAAAAAAAAAAAGGATGAATCTTTGTGGTACTAATTCTGTGGGACTCTCGTAGTGCTCTTAAGGTTGCCAGGGACAAGCCTGAAATTTGCAGTGTGACATCACTGCGCTGCAGGGGACTGGAAGATACTACTAACACCAGCTCTGGAATTCATATAGATCATGTACAGTTTCTGTTTACTTACACAGAAAATTATATGAAAGCCTTTTAATTATCCCTACTGGGAGGTACAAAGTGCAGCAGATAGACAGCAGGACTAACCAGTTTGAACTACAGGACAACGTATGAATAGCCTCAGCACTGGAAAGATCAAGAAAAATTAGTAACGAGCATTGAAGTTGTTTCCTTCCTGCACAGGGAGGATTTAACTATTTAAAGGAGGAGGCCAGAAGGCAAAGAGAACCTGAAAAGAACTATCTGGGAACTGTCAACATACATATATACAAAAGCATCCAAGGGAAAATAAGTAAGGTGTGGGAGGGAAGTGTTTCTTTTCAGTGGCTGTTGGTTTACTTTGATAATTGAAGGGAACGAGAAGTCCATCATTTTTGACGGCAGCTTTTCCTATGGCAGCTATCCTACCGAGTCCCATCATAGCTAATCTTTCAACGTCTTGAGTTATTGCACGCATGTTATATTGAACCTTTTTCTGAGATCCCAGAGCCAGAGCTCTGAAACTCTTCATTCTAGAGGTGGTACATTTGGCAATAAAAATGGCAGAGAAAGAAGAGCTGGTTTCTAGGTGCATGTCACAACTGGAAACAATTTCAGCTAAAGTAGAACTGTGCTGCCTCTGCTCCAGCTTCACCGATAAACTCATTTCCTGTCCAATTACGCCTTTTCCTTTTCTTTCACTTCCAACAGGCAAAGCGAGCTGTTTACCCTTAGACCTTTATATCTGCCAAGTCATTTACATTCCCTACTAAAAGCCACAGAGTTGCTTTCTTTCCTTGCCTCTGACATTTTCCCCTCTCCCAACATTGGCATAAGGTTCCTTTGTCTTATGCAACTGATGATCTACCTCTCATAGTTTTTGTTCTTCTCTTCCATCCCCCATGTCCATTTCTCCTTGCTGCCCGCACGCTACCTGAACACCTTTCTCAAGTTCTTTTCTTCTGGTACATCCTTAGTATTCTGCAGCATACCTCCTGCCACCTCTTTTCCATGTCACTAACTTTACAGTATTTTTCACATCATTCTTCGTGCCACTCTGGGCTTGTCGTGCCTTTCTTCATAAGCTTTTAACCTTATTCCTTTGTAACTCGCTACACGTGGTTTTCACCATCCATTTGTGCACAGTTTCTGCACCCCTGACTTAACACTAATTCTCTCTCACATGCACGGATACAACTGTCACAGACCAAAGGACAATAAAGGTAGCAGAACTGGAATTTCAGCCTGTCTGGATTTAGCATACATGGCTTGCTTCAGCTTTGAAAACCTTTATAGAACTGACTACAGCTAACCCTTGGAACCACAGAGGCAAGGAGAAAAGACTCAGTTGCAGGTGGGGATTGATTAGGACAATTCAAAATAATCTCATCTTAAGGAATGAGTGAGACATAAAGCTTGTTCATTTATGTCAATTCTGTGAAAGCAAAGTCATTGTATACCTTTTCTAAGGGTTCCTCTTCATAGTCTTTTCCAAAATGCTCTGTCTGTTCATCAGTTGACTCTACTATCACTAGACTAGTTCTCCTTGGAGAGAGGTCATCCCGGCAGAGCTGGGGATCCTCGGGCTCTCGGATGATGGGAGAGTCACCTCTCTGAGCAGACAGCAGGGGCTGCGGGAACAGTTTCTCTCTTTCTTCCTTTGATGTGCCAGAATGGGTGGATTTCTCTCCTGCTGCTTTTCCAGTTACCGGTGCTGTGGACCACTCTGTTCCTGGAGTTGTGATGCTGCAAATTACAGGTCAGAGAGAAGTTACTACCGTGCAGTGCTTACCAACTGCCATAAGTTATGGACCATTATGTGCCAATTCCATATTGCTATGTGTCTGTTGTCTAGCTAAGTCTAGAAATAACCAGTACTCCTTGACAATAACTCCAGAGCAATCAGGCTAGGAATCCTTGTCTTCCCACCCGAAAAGATCTCCAAATGGATGTCCAAATGCTGCACACATAAACTTGGTCTCCATAAAGTATTTATGTGAGCTTTGCTGTTGTTTCTGCCCTCCCAAACCTATGTATTACCTATTATTTCCAGGGGGAAAGAGACTGGATGGCTACAGATGGATATGAAGTGAATAATTACTCCATTAATTTCAAGCTATACAGCTGCAGGTGAGGAGAGACTGACCTTTTGTCACGGTTTAAGGCTTAAACCACAACACCTTTACATAGAGTTCTGGAGCCTTACCCAACAGAAATTTGGTAGAGAACCTTACTTTGTTTGCAGTGTTATTTTCACTGTTGAACATTGCTATGATTTAAATGATGCTACAAGTTATTTAAACATATTATTACACATGTCACTACAGAACATATAGAAAGGTAAGACATCTACTAAAGCAGATGTACATGCGATATTTTCCTGTTGCATGTGGGCAATTAACAGCCGCTTCCAATATTAAGCTACCTCTCATCTAACTGAGTTTCATCAAGTAACCTCGTAACTCCAACGCTAGCTTGGAAAGTCACATCTGATTTGCACCAGTCATCACAACATTACCTGCTTCACCACCTAGGATCTTCTCCCGAGGGGGACTTTTCTCTTTTCATGAATATCATTAAAGAGACTAAAAGGACAACTATTTTTAAAATGTTGGGATTGCAGCCCAAAAAATGGCCAGCCTGCAAAAATTAGATCTTTCCCTTCTGAAACTTTCGAGAGGCTTTCGAACCAGCATCTGTATGCTTGCTTTTCCCCAATGCTCATCCTAAAAATTAACTGAGGAAATTGTTACATTTTAATACTAGGAGTCCAGATTCCTTTCTCCATAACCAATCCCACAAGTAGACAACAGTAATAATAACACAGAATAACTAGCACATAAACGGCTTTTTTTCCTGATACAAGTTGGGTTTTGACAATTTGTTGTGCTCCCCCAACTACTGCCCTTGAAAAAACTATATTCTGAAGTATGAAACAACTTCATTGTAGCATACGTTAAACAGTATTGCTCCAGCTTTTTTTATTTTCCTTTCACCAGACTGTATGTATTATTATCTAATTCCTCTTGGTAGGAATAATAGTAGTATAATTCCTTACGAGTTATTTAAATTTCCAGCCCAATTTTCCTCCTAGTTCACACTAGATGTGAAAGGGAGCTATATTCCTGACATTGCTACTCTTATTTAATGTGTGCAATAGTGTCTCAAATGTATTCTCTATTTCTCAGAAACATTAATTTCCTCATAGAAAATCATTAGGAAATACTGGTATTTTTCCCTATCAGTGCAATGTCACTCTTCCACCTTAGACTCTGCTTTCCACCTCCCATGCTTGCTCCTGGGTGTAAAGCATATTGCAAGCGAAAGAATCCCCAGAAGACCACTTGCTGCACTCAGCTGTGGTTGGAATGCTTGGACCTGTGCCTCTACATCAAAGCTAATCACTCACAGAAACCTCATTTTTTGGAAGGGGATCCTTGGCAATATGCTAGCCTACTAGTACCTGAAAGAACCCTGCATGGAGTCATCAGCATCAGCGCGTTACTAGGACAGTGGGAAGAAAGAAACATGATCCTTTTCAAGTTCCTTTCCACATGAACTGACCCCACTGACAGCCCCAGATCAGAATACAAGGCTTTGCTGTGCAGGTCTTCTAAATCTATACTTCACTGTGAGTTGCTCCCTTAAGTGCTTTTGCCTTCTCTGTATAAAACCCTGCGTCTGTTCATTTGGCCATTTGCAATTTACTTCTAAAAACCTAGTTCCTAATACGTGGTTCTGAGTTTTGTAAGTAACAACTAAATTGGAAAATTTTTGCCTTGGGTGAAAAAGCCATCCTGAAGTTAAAGGAAGGCCCCTCTCTCTAGTGTTAATTCCATTCAGTTTACCATGGCTTGCCACCTAATGTGTGAGAAATCTATATGGTCGGCAAATACCTCTGAACACCTCTACATTACATGTCTCTTCTTTCACGTGTACCAGACTGGATTATGGTTATATCTGCACAATGACAGACCGACCTTCCTAATCCTTAAGGTTTCCTCCTTAACCTGCAATGGGAACTAACAAATGGGTGCATGCAATTGGAGGAGAATTCTAGTGTATTCATCCGTTTCAAAGAAAACTGTAAAATCCCCTTATTACACAGAGAAGAAAGAACCTGTTCCATTGTAGTTTCCTTCTAGTCTTTTGACACTTACAAGTATTCCTGTTGTGAAGTAGATGTTTTTTCTGGCACATCTTGGGTTTTCCCTGAGAATTCAGCTTCTACTTGTTCCTTATGCGCTTGTCTCAGGAGCTCGGCCATTGGTACTTCTGCCTCACTCCTGGGAGTGCTGTCTTGAAAAGGAGAATAACTGACAGACGCATCTTCCTCAGAGACAAGAGGAGGGTGTTCGGTTGGCTCACTGTCTTTAGATATTCTATGTTGTTCTTCTCGCTTACGTCTTGAACTGTATACTTCTTCTTGCAGTGCAGAAAATCCTTTAAGAAAAAGAGAGATGACAAATGCCATTATAAGACTTACTAGAAAGCAGGAAGTCCTTCATGTTCTTCATGCACATTTTAAATCCCTGGACAGAACATGCTGCCTGAAATTTTTAAACATCTGGACTGGGAGAGTATAGAACCTCTTTAAATAGCTGAAGGAACGCTGGAACTGCTGTTGCCAAATAATGAATCTTTTCAGCAACAGGCAAAAGGCAAATCACCCAGAAATTTACCTAGAGCCAGTAATCTTGAAACCGTCAAAGAATGCAAGAAGATTCATAACAGGTTTTTTCCAGCACAGTAGGATAGGCTTCAGTGACATATATCCCACCCCCCACCCCCTTATTGATCTCGTTATGGAAAAAAATAACCACTCAGGTATAGACAAAGATATTCACATAAGACTGGGTGCAAGAACGTACTCATTTACAGGCTTCAAAGCACATAAACACCCACCCCAACCCCTAATCTCCAAGTAATGGCTCTCGTTCTGAAAAAAAAGTACAATAACATCTGCTTTTCAGTTCTATGGGTCACAAGCTTGGACTTTTGTTTTTCCTTATTAGGCACGTTCACAAGGAACCTACTGAACTCTGAAGAAGAGCTTGGGGAATAACATAACTACTTGTACTGAATTTGGGCTGGGAACAGAGGTATACATTCTAAAAGTAATTGGTAGCGAACAACTTTCTATTCCTGCATTCTGTTCAAGATGGAATGCTCACAGCTGTCTTAATACTTTACTGAGCTATTCCTTCAATATTAAGGATGTAAAAGTATCACTTCCAGAAAACAGAATTGTATTTCATGCAGTCTGGAGGTGTTTCTTTAGTTTACAACCATTGCTCAAATCTCCTGGACTTGGAAACTGAAGAAATCCAACAGCATCATAGCAAAATTACAGTATCCTGGATACTTGAATTCAAAGATTTCTCCAAAGTTTTCCTTCTTCAAATTACAGTCTAATCCTAATGCAAGCTTCATAACTTTCATTAAAGTACTCGTATAAGAAAAAAAAACTCAACAAACCATGCACTGGGATTTGCTGTAGTTTCTGACAAAATTCCTTTATATGCTTTTCAAAGCATATAAAGAATTGTCTGATGGGGAGATCTTATACCCTGTGAAACAGCAACTAGTGCAACATCATGGTTGCAAAATGGGATCCTACTGTTCAGTCATAAGACCTAATGGATTCTCCTACTCAAACGTTTCAGTACAGAAGCTAACGCTCAGGTGAGATGATCCAGGCAGCCTGGATAGGGAGACCTTTACCTTCACTGTGGTCCAATCCTATCGTTTGCTCCATTTCCGCGTATGTGCGAGTGCCATGGACCTGCATGGAGTTGATGCCGCTGGTCTCCATGAGGTGAACGATATCCATGCGGTTGATTTTTGTAAGACATTGGGTAAGATTTGTATCTGTGGCATTAGAACAACACCATGTAGCTGAGTTAAGAATTTCACAAGCTCTCTCCCTTCTGTTTTCCACAGGAAAAAAAAAATGAACCAAAGGGCTGCCTATGAAAATTACGACTCACTTTGTCTCTTTCTGTAACCAATTTGTTTAGTTTCCCAAAACATTTTCCAGTTAAGGAAAAAGAGGCCTCTGTGGTTTTCCACTCTTTCTTTGTTACAAGATGTTCTGCCTTGCCCTCAAATAAAGATTGATCTGTTTCTCTGAGAATCTTATGTTGTTATGCAGACAAGCTTAAAAAAAAAAGAGATCTTAAGTACAACCTATGGTCATTCTTTCTATAGCTGACATTTTACCTGAATTCTCTTTCTGTGACTGTAATGAGCATCTGTCACCTCAACTACCAAATAGAAGACAGTTTTATGGACTGTAAGAGGAAACAAACCTGTTGCATGCTTCCCATCCCTTTCGAGCCAGTATTTGAGGAGCGCGTGGCTCTGGTCTTGAAGCGAATTTGGATTTTCAATTCGGATCTGGTGAATTTGCTCTTCAGTGAAATCCAGTTCTCTCGCTAGCTCTGAAAAAGAAATCCATCTCTGTAAAGATGCCTTTTTCTTTTTCCCAGCCTTCAATCTATTTTACTGCCATCGGCAGCAAAGTAGATTACAAACTTCTCTGAAACCAGATTGTCTTTGCTTCTGTGCACCTTGTGTTGTATTTAGAGACACAGTTCAACAGTAAGTCCATGACAAAGACACAAATGCTTACATCTAGAAGTCTGTGTGAGTTTTTATTTTTTTTGCCTATTGTTCCTAGTTCTGAGAGGCACACGCTGTCATTGACCACATTTAGCGGCACCGAGCCACCAAATAGCACAGTTGCAGAAATGGCACACAAGCAGATAAAAATATTTCTAGCTACAGAGCACCCCGGTCAGCAGATTCTATCCTCTGCAATGTTGACTATTTCAGAAGCTGTCGTCAAAATCTAGGCAAAGGTTCCACTTTACATAATGGCATTCTGTAGTAGGTCTAGACTAAAGCATAGTACTACTACTCCTCTGGGCTCATTTCATTTAAAGAAATGTTTACAACAGATGAAAAAAGGAAACTGAAAATATGAAATTGAGGATAACCAATGTCTTTCTGATGTAGCATAGACTCAGACTGCAGTCAAGAAAAGAGAAATGGTTTAATAGTCTAACATCTCTACTGTATCCAGAACCAGGAGCAGCTTTCTGCCGCTGCCTTCTGAAACAGGTCATCGGATGAGTCAAAAGCATGTAGAATTTGTGAGAATCCTACTGTTATTCCCAGTCTCTGGATTTCTGCTGCTTTCACAAAAAAGGATTCCTATTCTATTCCACTGTCATTATCACTGTAGGGGCACAGACTTGATTTTGGAGGGTATCACATTTTAAAAGGGAGGAGGGAACCCTAACCACAAAGCATGGATAACCTTGTCTCCAGGCTGATAGTAAACTGCTGTAACCATGAATTTCAAAGATACAGCAGCTACACTTGAGATTCAGATCCTTGTGAGTCTCATACATTTGGACAAAAAACAGACACCACTTCATCCCCCAAAGTAACATTTGATGCAGTCATCTTTACTATAATCTATCTTTACCATATCTAAGATGGGAGTATTTATGCAGTGTATTACCCTGCCCTCTCTAAAATGCTATAAAACATTATTGTCTACTTTGACGAGCATCCCTTATTTCTACTTTTGTTTTCAGAACTGTCTATTAATTTCTATAACCTTTTCAGCATATTCCTATTCTGCTACACTGCACAGGTCGAAGACCTACTGAATTCAAGATACTCCATGCTGGGATGAGTGAGACATGCTCCCAGTCTTCTCTATGGATTGAAACAGAGGATAGGGCAGGAAGAGGTGAGTGACATATGCAAAAGTATTGGTGATATTGTGAGTATACTTACATATGCCTATAAAAACAGTATAGAGCACAATCTTCGTTATTAAAGAGAAAGCTAATGTGTGCTCTGGCACACAACTCATCTTTTACTCCTAGAGCCTCGCTTCTTTTCAGGAGCACGGTACTCAGGTACCACTCTAGGGATAGATAAAAAACAGTGTCGACCCAATTTAATGGGTTTTGCAGCAATTTTTTGTTGGACTGCACTGTTCGACACGGTGCTGAGATTTCTGTCTGACTCCTTCTCTTTGTAAACAATTTTGAGCCAATTTTCAGTGACAGACACCTGCATTTCACTCTCTGCTACTTTTGCTCATACCCAGTCCTGTTAACTGGTTCAGATCTATTTGAGCCACAACGTTAAAGTGATTGCTGCAAATAAGACCCTTTTATCCCTTTTTCCTCAGGACAGTGCTGCAGAAAAGAAGCTGATGTCATATTCCTATAGTGGCCTTCCAGCTCAGGAGTTCCAGAACAGAGATGATGTTTATTCCTGTATTCATTTATCTTCTAGCCAGAGATGTTGCATTTCACAAGAAAGAGGAGAGGAATGTATGCCAGTTCTCTCGCCCTTCCCCATGCAGCAAGAGAGGCCTTGTCTCTGCATCCAAGTTCTTACCTAAAAGGCTATAGGAATCTTAGCACCCAGAAGACAGTAAGCTACTGAAATATCTCTACCAAATATCTTTAGATAATCAGGAAATCATCTGAAAGAAACATGAAAACAGTGAGGAACGCTTCACTCCTTTCTTTCTGGACGATATGCATTTTACCTGTCCAGCTGAATCCAAGATGATCAGCAATATGGGCCAGTCTTTCCTCTGTCCTTTCCCGATCATCCTGTTGATCTAAAGGTCAAAGAGAACCACAAGTTGCCTTTTACAATTTAAAAACCTTTTCCATAGGTGATAGAGCCCAAGAAGGGAAAGTGCTGTGTTTTTTTCTAACCACTGCTTTTCTAACTGCTAAATGGGGAGAGGCTGTTAAAATTGGTAACTCAAGTGGGGACTGTAAATCCCCAGGCTTAGAAAACAAAGCAAAACCAACAAAAACAAAACAACAAAAGCTTGATTTTTCAAAAAGCACAGGACCATCTATATTTTCTACTTGAAAATCAGGCTTTCGTGTGAAAGTTTAAATGCGGACTGAAGTGCCTAGTGTGCCTATTTTGGCCAAGCATTTTATTCTAGAACTTCACTCTAACAGCACATTGAAGACTTTAAGACAAGAGCTGTGATTTTTCCATGCCTCCTTAGTAAATACCAAGGTTGATAAATTCATCTGGACCAGTGCTTCTAATTCTGTTCTTTCCATTGTAGGGGAAGTTTTGTTCAAAGAGCCCATATGGCACTTCATATTATGGTTTGTATTTGAGATATCACTAATTTAAGTGTGACTGATGTTTTCAACAGGGTTGCGATACACGATAGTTACAGTGAAGGCAAGGAAAAATACGATGTTCGTTCGCTGGTCTTCATTGCTTTGAGACTGTTCCTCCCATCCCCAACGCTACTTTGAGGATGGCAGAATTTGAGTTTTGATTTTCCCTGAATGCACACCTGGATTGCAGTATCTCAGAAGCAGAAAATTGCTTTGCATTAAAGACATATGCATGTTTCTTTTTAGCTGCTGGATTTCCATCATGGCTACTCAGTAGCTGTATGCAAGTAGCCAGAGGAAAAGCAAATGCCAGAAAACTCATACTAAAGTTACTAGTGACACAGATTTTTCTTGAGATATGGATTGTCAAAAAAAGGACCATGAAAAAGTTAATTGTGTAAAGCTTCTGTACATTTTTTTTATGTAAGAACTCAAAGGAAAATAAATTTTCCTGTCCTTGTTTCAATTGATGCCCAAATATTCCACTATTAGAAAAATTAACAGTTAAGAATAGGGCCAGGGAAAGTCAAAAGCCAAAATGTGCACAACCTGAGCCATTGATTGAATGGTAAAGCAAGACATATACTGAGAAGTGTTTTTGCTTATTACGGTAACACTTCCCACCAGCATTCATGGTTTGCAATCTTGAGATCTGTTTCACAGACAAGACAGACACAGATACAACACAAAAAACCCCAAATGTGGCTCACTGGGAAAATAAAACAAACAACACAACTAACCACCAAAAGCTTAAAGAAAATGCCTCACACATCACGCATGTACACACACGTACAGATGCACACCCCCACGCACACCAAAGAAAACAAAAAAAACAAGAAGTTTAATTCATGACATGCGTCGCACAGGGAATCCCAGTCGTCGGCAAATACCTTCAGCATGGTCATGGACATTTTCATCAGGGATACGTTCAATCTGAGTCTCTACGGACTCATCCCAAATGGGTCTGGTGTCAAAGATGTCTTCCGGAACTGACTGCTGGGTCTCACCAGATGGCACATTTTCAATAACTGAAACTTCTAGGGCACTACTGCTTTCATCGTCTGAAACTAATTCTTGTTCTCTCTCTGACTGTGTGAGTCTTTCCACTAACTTAGAAGCTTCATCACTAATTTCTTCAAAGAATTCTATGGAGTTTTTGTAAAGGTCAAAAAAATGTTCTTTACTTTCTTTTGTGGGACTAAAAGCACTGCGGGAGGCTGTAGTGCTTCTGCTTTTAACTGGCAACCGTGACGAAAATGCCTTGGGTCTTGCTGTTGTTGCCTCATCTGAGTCTAGCTCAAGGTTCATCTCTCTCTCCCTCTCTCTGGTCTCTGCTTCTGCTTCAGCATAACTCCTAGCTTTTATTGATCGCTTAATCTTTGGGTCCATAGGAATACTCGCATCGGATTCAGATTTACTGCGGTTATCTTGTTTCACGGGCAGTTTGCCAGTCACGTCCGGAGCTTTGGGTGACTCTAGCTTGCGGACAGATGCATCCGTGTGCATATGCTGCTGTTCAGTTTTTTGGAAAGCTGCTTTGACTGGGATTTTAGACTTTGGTTTTGCTGGGTCATCTTTTCCTTCACACTGCAAACCATCTAAGAAGCTGTCTGTGGGAAGGCTCTCGTTTTCCAACTGTTGCAATGCAGCAGCGGCTGTTCTTACAGGAATTTTGGATTTGCTTTCACAAGAAGGCGCTCTCTCCATCAGAGCAGTAGGGATTTCAATCACAGATCTCTGTTCCTCTGGCGAAGAGTCTGGGGACTCATCACCCTGTCCAGAACTAACTGATCTAGTGACTTTGGAAAAATCTAATTCATCTTCTACTACGGCCCACTCGGGAGAGGTGGGGGAAGGCACCTGACTGCTCTCAACCACGTCAGTCTCCGTTCTGGAGAAGGGCTCAGCTTCTGAGGCAGCGATTTCTTTCTTTGGTGATTTTGAAGAAGCCGAAATACCCATTTTAATTGGAATTCTGGATTTCAGATCTGCTTTTGAGGAACCTGTGCCGACACCTTCGTCTGTCATTTCTTCTGATATATCACTACACTCAGATGCTGGGGGTGAATATTTCAAGGTATCCTTTTCTTGTTTATCCGAGTCCTCCAATTCCAAAGGTGAAAATGGATCTGGTGAGCTCTTTAGCTTACAAGATTCTACCTCTGCTGCTTCTTTCACTTCTTCAGATAAAGGAACTTCTTCCTGAGGCTGCTGCCCCATTTGGAAGAAGTGAAAGCTTTCATCTGCATAGTTCCTTTTGGTCATGTCAATGGCCCCACTTCTAGTCATTTCAAACAACTTTCCTTCCTGAAAAAGAAATGGATTCTGTTCACTAAGTGGTGTCCCTTCTTCGGTGGGCGTTCTGGCCGGCGTGGTATCAGGTGTTGTGCCTTGTGATCGCCTGTCTACCATCAACCCAAATATTTTCTGTTCCTCTTCTTTCACCCGAGCTTCAAAGGCTTCATCGTCTTCCCGTATTTCACTCCACATGTCAGAATCCACGTCAGTTTTAGTGATGACAACTTGACCAATTGATTTCTCTGTTTCATCTCTGATATCCTCAAGGGCAGATTCTGCTAATTTTGTGGAATCCGATGCTGAAGACCCCTGTGACATTTTCTGAAACGCATCCTCTGTTTTGGGCTCTATTTCCATATATACTTCCTCTGAAAAGCAATACTCGCTACCTGCGTCTCTGCTAAGTAAATCTTCACTAGTCTGATCTTTCCCTTCCTTGGTAGAACAGCTTTCCCTAGGCAGCAGTTTTCTACCAGATCCTACCTTACTTTCAGGGTCAGTAAAGAAATGTTCAGAAGACATGTTCTCATAAGGGCTTACTATACTATTTTGAGCAGCATCTGCTACGCAGCTTTCCGGTTCCACTGTTTCAGCAGTGAGGGATGAATACTCTGGTAGGGGCTCCTCAGCAAGAGTCTCTCCTGGGCATGTTTCAAAATCTGTATCTGCTTTTCCCAAACCACTTCCCACAGTGAAACGGTCAGCAGTATCGCTTTCAGCCTGTTTGGCATGTTGTGGTACAGCGTACTTGGTGGTACCGTGTCCACAAGAACTACCATCTACGTTCTCTGGCACAGCTCTTGTAGCAATGAGATCTGTGCATGTTAATGATGAGGTGGCTTCAACATCTTTTTTGGTAGTATCACATTGCTTGAGTGTTAGCAGCGACTCAGGGTGAACTTCTTTTTGAGAACTGGCATCAGTGAAATGACACGGAGTACCTCCAGACAGTGTGGCTGGGGCACTAGGACTAACAACCTCCCTGTCATTTGCACAGCCGCATTTTGATTCATCAGGTTCTGCACAACCATCAGAATGACAAGCAGAAGCCGTACAGCTGCCTCTGGGGATAAGCGGTTCTTCTTTGCCATCCTCTATCGGCTTATCCTGTTCCACTTTAACCAAACCAATCCCGATAGAGCACCTTTCTGAATCAATAGGTTGAAAACCTGCTTCATCGGGGCTAGAGCAGGAGTCAATACTGGATGGTAACGGTGAGGGTGGCTGCACCCGGATCACAGGCTCCATTAAGAGGCCTGAGTCGGCCTCTCTTTTCAGCCGAGTCAATTCTGGCTCACTTTCTGAAGAGGAAGAGCTTTTTCTAGACTCAGCTGTGGGCATCACCACCATAGGTATATCTCTGTCTTCCACAGCTGTCGACTGTGGTTCTTCAGCTCTACATGCATCTTCTGAATTAGCAATGGCAGTGGATTCACCTTGCTTACAATCCTTTTTGCAATCTCTCTTCTGTTTCGCTTCTTGTTCCAACTCATCAAACATTTTGATTTTGGTCACCATTTTAAACATCTCCTCTTCAGGGGTGAATCTCTTCTTCGGCTCACTTTCCGAATCGTCCTCCGGTTCTTCACTGACTTCAGGGATCACGGCTGACTTCCGTACACTGGACAGTGCCTGTGAGTCTGCTGTTTTAGGTGTGATTTCATAGCTAATTTCTTCAGAACTAGGAGTCTCAGGTGAAAGCGGACTTTTCCCCGAGCTCTCCATGAGGGACGTTTGCTCCAGACTGTCATCATCAGCACTTCCCTCGGGGTCACGGAGAATCCTGGAACGCACCGATGCCAGCTCTGGGCAGGTTTCTCCTTTGCCAAGAAGGGAAGGCAGAGGACACTGCCCCAAAATACCAGCCTTCACTGTTGGTTCTACGGGGCTACTTTCAAGAGAATCACGGCAGGGAGACTCTTTCATAGGACTGGGCTCCAAAGAATCAGGTGTTTTGTGTGACGAGTTATCTTCTAGCACTGGGCTTGCCTCCAGGGAGTCTTTATGACTTATAGCCAAAGAGTCATCTGCAACTGGGCTAAAGCTTTCACTATCATGGCTAGCAAGTGAAAGTTCCAATTTCTGGGGACTTCTAACCGCAACACGGTGTTCACAGGTTATATCTTTGTCTTTCGCTAAAGCAGTGTCATGTGTTTCAGAAGACTTAGTTAAATGTGCAGTGGTTGCAGATTCTGTATCCCTGCTAATATCTTTCATAATGGAAGCTGCGCTATTTTCTGTAAGCTTATCAGCCTCTTCTTCAGAGGCTGTAGGTACAAGGTCTTCCGATACATGGTCAGAATGAGACTTACTAGTCTCAGTAACAGCATCTAGCTGCCTTTCAGTAATACCTTTTTCATCTTCCTTTGGAGGGAGTTCCTTCGGAGAACATGTTTCTGCTGTTGTGTGGGCACTAGCTGCTCCTTTAGCTTCTTCGATTGGCCCATCTGTTTTCTTTGGTGAGAATGAAAGGCTTTCGGGGCTTGTTTCTGGAGTTTCTGCCAGACCCTCATGCTTATAACTTTCTTCAGAGCTGATCTGAGGGGTTCCATCCAGTAGGCTACCCGGAGAATCGGCCACGCCTTCGTGCTTCAGGCTCTCGGAGCTCCCATCAAAAGCAGCGCTTTGCAGAGAAAGAGTGGGCAGGAACCCGTCTTTCCCGTAGTCTGTGGGAAAAGCAGCGCTGAACGGGCTGGTCAGTACTTGCTCCAAGTTAAGTTCTCCCTCCTCCGTCACTGAAAGGTGCCGGAACTGTTGATATTTGTCATTGTCTTCCAGTTCTTCTTTAATGACGTCAGAAAAGTCTGTTGAGGTTTTTCTGTCAGGGCTGATCTGGAAGTCAGTATCTCCCTGGTCATCAGAAGGCCTGCCCTTTCCAACCACTGCATCTTTGGCACTTTCATCATCAAACACTGGAGGGAGAGGTTCAGTCGGTTTTTTGCTGCCCTGCTCTTTTACCTGGTCTTTACTCGCAGCTTTCTTGGTAGTTTCAACGGTAGAGAGTTGCATTTTTCCTTTTTTGGATTGCGGCTCTTTCTCTGTTTTTAATCCCGCACTTTGTTTGTCCTTCTGTTTGTCCGTCTTGTGGCTTGTTACTCGCCTCATTTCGCTTTGTGAAACTGTCGTTTTTCTCCGTGTTGTTTCCTTCTCGGGGAGCTGTTGCTTCTGTTTGACAGATTTGTGCTCAAACAGTCCAGATATATTCTTGGATGGGTCTTGACCTGACTGGAAGGCTTTCATCAGTTCACGAACTGACATGGTCTCTTCAAGTCTTTCCGTCTTAGAAGAAGGGGAAACAGGCGGCTGTGCTTTATGTACAGCCGGCTTTTTAACTTGTACGGGTCTTTTGGAAGCCTTCTCAGCAGTGCCTTCTTTGGTCTGAATTCTGACAGGCAGTTTTGACCGTACTTTTTGCTCATCTTCCACTCGTTTCTGAAGAGCTTTAACTTTATCTTTGATTGAGCCAATAGGAGTTTCCTCTATAACAGGGGATACAGCTTTAGCCTCCAGCGCAGCTGTCGGCATTAGGCCAGGTTCCTCACTGCCTTGTGACGCCTCCGAAGTGAGCTTCGTTAGCTTTGGCTGCTCTTCACCGCTGCGCATCTTGCCTTCCTTTTGCTTTGGCTTGTCTCTTAATTTTGTCCTAAGGGGCTTTTTAATTTCTAAGGCCGGCTTGTGTTGCTCCTGCAGACTTCGTGGTTTGGCTGTCTGAGATTCTTGACCTTTTTCAGAATCCCTGCTTACTACTACAGCTTCAAATCTCTCCTCTACCAAGTCTTCTTGTAAGGCTGGTGGCTGTACCTTGTGAAGAGAAATGTATGGTTTTAAGTCCTCTGTAACGTAATCTACCATCCCTGTCACGTCTGCCTTCTCCATTTTTGTTGTCCCTTCATCTACCCTGACTTCTACACGTGTAGGTTCGGTGGCTTCTGAAGGAGCACTTCTTCTGGCCTCTTCAATTTCTTCATCACTGACAATGACCCATTCTTCTTCTGAAAGTTCTTGTTTGGAAAGGGACTTCTGCAAAACATGTTCTCTGGTATAGGATCCACCTCTCAGAATTTCATTTACTTTTTCTAAGTCTTCTTTCACTCTTTCAACTATTTCAAATGGCTCTCCTGGCTCTTCCTCACCGGCTTTTCCAAGATCTTTCACTTTAATGGAGCCTGTGAGTCAGTTGTCAAGATGGCAGTCATTTTGATCAAATCTTGTTTCATCTCAGAAACTTCAGACAACAGGTCTGGACTGGCTAGTACAGGGACTTCATTAACCAGATGGCTTTTCAGGATAGATGTTTCTGTAGATTCTGTCTCGTCATCTTTGATGTGAATGAAAAACATTGAAAGTAAAATGGAAATCAAAAATAGAGATTGGAAAATGTAATCAGGACTGACTGAAAATGAGAGTCTTTGGTTGCAGTGGTAGGAAGGTCAACAAAATGGGCCAGGAATGGTGGATCCACAAGATCTGAGGGTACAAGAGCAAAGCAAAGCTAATGGGGGGCGGGGGAGGGAGGAAACAAACAAAAAATGAAACAAAACAAAACAAAACTGAAAAGGAAAATGGCAGGAAATAACTTGCTTAACTTTATCAATATAGCACAACCACACATACATTACCAAAGCTGTAACAAACCAAATCAGGACACCACTAAAAAAACCCAAAACAACAACAACAACAGCAAAATTTAAAATTAAAACAGAAGAACCACAGTGAAGTTACACAAAGAGAAGGCATCTCAAGATTGTTCAGATGTTACAGATCAATGTTCAAAAAAAAACAAAAAGGCAAGAAAAAAGGGGGAAAGCATTAGAACTGATTGAAAGTCGATCTCCTCTAAGAGAAAGCCAGTGTTAGCAAACTGTCAGAGTAACATTGGGTTAACATTTTTTTTTTCTTAATGACCAAAAGTTAAAAATCATTCTGCAGTAATCTAAATTATTATCAAATACATAGAGATCTGAATCAGCTGCAAACCGGCATTTCATCTAAGGGGATTTCACACCTAAACAATGAAACAAACAGTCTTTTGTTTTAAGAGGCATGGTCCTTTCCTTGGAACATCCTCATTGACAACTAATGAATAGACTGAGGAAAGAGAAGACAGAGGAGAAAAGGAGAGATCATAAGAAAAAACTGTGAATCAACTTAAAAGTGATTTCAGAGTTTTCAAAATCATCATGTATGGCAACCAAAAATCAGAGACAGTCACACCAGACACACACGTACAACTCATGTAAGGCAAGTTATTTCCATGCAAAGCAAAGGTGTTGCAAATGCTGCTGGGTATGTAGCTTTAGTTAAAAAACAATCTTACTAAAATTAATCACATAAATTAAAGAAAACATTGTAAAACATACTGTGGTGAAATATTTGTCTGATCTGTGCAACCAATATATAGTCAGCTGGATGAAGGTAATTCCCATTTATGCCATAGCTGCCTCCTGAGAATATTTAATTTCAGGAAGGTCTGCTAGAAAATGTTTATTGAAATGATGAAATGCTGGAGGACTGCGGTGAGTTATGAACAGAATGCAATGCTTGGAAATTGTGATTTTTATTTTTTTTTAAATTCTGGTACATTGCATAAAACTTGATGCATTTCTGCACCCCACTCTAAAAGTTAAAAGTTGTAATGCATATATGGAGAACCTAAGCAATATGTAATTATCTGGATTTCTTTATAAACAATATCTATTTTGCTACACTCTTGCAATAAATGTTTATGCTGTCCATTAATTACAACTGAATCGGTGGGGTTTTGCAACTTTAGTAATACATAATTTCATAGATGTCACATGGATGGCATTGGCCACAGAGTCGAGTTAATTACCCTGAAGCAAACAAGCTCCAGAGGAAAATAAAAGGCAAGTATTATCTGAACGATGTGTGGCTGGCAGGAAGAATGCTCTCTCAGTAGGATGCGGTTGGCCTCCCTCACACCTGCACTGAAATCTTTCTAGCTTGCATAACAAAGCTGTTCATTCTGCCAAGGAAAGTGAGTGCAGCACAACTGTCTCTCAATGTAAAAAGCATTCATTAATTATAACAAAAGGGAATTATTGTCCATTTGGTCTTCATGATCACGGCGCTATGGTCCTTCCAATTTTAACATCAGTACACTGAGAATAAATAACCCTCAAAAGACAATGTAGAATAACAGGCAAGACATTGCATTTTAAACTAGAAATGAAAGAGGTCAGTCTTTTCCTAACCAGATTTAAGAAATCACTGCATTTGAAAACAGTTCTTATTAGAGATGCTCTTCAGACCAAATTTATATTGGTTTGATGTGTATCCTTATTAAAGGAGATCTCTGGCCTCGTGCACCACTCGCTATCAGTTTCCAATAATAATTATGTCCCAATTCTGTATTTACGAAAGGTACATACGCTGTACCAAACCTAACAGTCAATATTTCCAGTCATATTTCACCACAGTAAAGGGTGGGGGAGGGTTAAACAGCCAGATTACTTTGGACAGTATCACTTTTTTGCATGGTGGTATTTCATCAGTTTAATGAAATCTACTAATTACATTTAAAAGTGATACTGTCATTTATCTCAAATATGAGGCAACAATGTGTGTCAACAAATGGACAAAACAAAAAATGGAGGGAATGAGCACTCATACAAGCAAAATAGCAATAGCAGGATTACTAGGGATGTCAAAGGAAAGTAAATGCTTAGATGAACTGTATTAAACTGTATTACTTGTTAATTTATACATTAAAATGGATTTAATTGCATAGCTGCTTTGGTATTAAATTGTTTTCTATTATGTTTTAAAAGTATTGATGCTATTAGCAACAGCAGTTAATGCTTAGCTCTCTTTCATGCTTATCTTTATTCTTAAGCATCTTTCATACAAACTGAACTGTAACATTTTCAAAAAAAGAGAAAATCTTACTTTTTTCTGAAGTCATATCAACCTGGAAGAGAATAAAGGGGGAAATTTAAAAGTTCAAATATAAGCAATATATATGAAGTCACTAGTGAAGTTGTAGAGCTTGAGTCAAATCCACTAGATGTATGGAGACACACAGATTCATTGACTTAAATGGCACCACAAACGGATTAAAAATAATGGTAAAAGCATGGGTTAATTAATTTAGTATTTCTATTAACAGAAAAATGGTTACTTTGCTATAGTTACAGTCAATAGCAGATGCAAAATATTGCAATATATCTCTTTAAATGCAACATGCAGTAGAGAGGATGCAGACTTTTATATTACTGGGTATATTGTTGCTTTGCATTAACTTGTCTCTTCCTGTCTAAAGCAAAAGAGTCCAGTATGGTCACGTGAAGGCAGATGTCCCATCTGGAAGGCACCTACTATGCTTTATGCATAGTTTCATTGTACGTGTTCATTCTGAGATCGTGGTTTGCATTTTCACCTCTGTACTTTGTGATGGTGAAAAGCGGATGTAGAAATGACTGCAGCCTTGCTACTGCCTACAGCAAGAACTAAGACTCGGTGCCACTAACAGCTATTGATACCTCTAAATGGAAGCAGTGATGGCTCTCGGGCCATCTGTTGGATTTTTCAGAGTTCATCTGGGTATAGATTGAAAAAGCCATACAATTTCAGTGTTACTCAAAAGAAAACACAGTACTTGACCAAAGTAAAAAATAAAAGTATCAGACTAAAAATTCAAGAAGCAAATCTTTGAGGCTGTCTTATAATTCCTCTAAAGTACAGAACACCCTAGAGATGGTAACCTAGGATCCCTAGGATACTTTAATTCCCTTTACTTTAAGTTTCACTAAATCAGTCTGGAATTACGTCAGCATACTAATTAATATTATTAACATAAAATGAATAAAGTGAATAAATAATTTCAAATGGAAGATGGTTTAGCTTGAGGTTTTGTGCTTTAGTTTCTCAGATTAAAATCCAAGAAGTCATCAATGTCTGGAAAAATAATTTTCCAATATCCTTTATGCTGCTTTAATGAGCATTAATTTGTTAAAAACAACTTTTGGAGACTTCTCTGGGAATGCAGAAACAGCATTATAGAGTCTTAAAGACTCAGTTTTGTGCTTTTGGTATGAAATCAAATGATTAAGAAATGTCACTTTCTGAATGAATACAAGGGAATTAGCTTACAACTCCAATTCATGCCACAAAATTTCTGAGCTCTGTTTTGCATTTTGTAGAAAAAAACGTGTGTCATCTTTGGGGACAGGCTATTCCAACAGGCCTGGCACTCTCATCATTTCCAGCAGCTCAACATCATTAAAATGTGGGGATGCTTTTCAAATGTTACTCATTCACATAGGGGTCAGACCTCAAGACACATCTGTAACTGCCAGGAGGGGGCTGGGAATGGAGGGGGAGGTTGGCCACATGTCTCAATTAAGATGCAATTCGGTTTATGCTAAAGGTGCAGAGTTTATGAAAAACTCTCCACATTTTACTTGGAGAAAACTTACTTGTAACTGTTTCTGTACTGGACTCAGAAACCTGTAAGATGCAGTCCATTGGATGTTATAAATGGACAAGATTTGGGAATTGCTGCCCTTCCATGTATGCAGGCAGTGCATTCGACTGCAATCTGGTCACAGACTCCCCCCAGCAATGGGGAAGAAGTCAATGGAGATACTTGCTGTATTTAGGTCTGTCCCTCTGTTCTCCCTACTCACCCCTAACTAGAGAAGAAGACAGTGCTGAGGGATATTAACAAAAAGTATACTACGCCAACAATCCACCAGTTCTGAATACTTGAGGCAAGTCTAGTAGCAACCAACCCTACACTGTTTTTAGGATGTGGGATGATTCTTGGAATCAGAAAAAACAATCCCATTTACCCTTTTCTGTGCTGCAAACAATAAAGCTTAAAGAGATACACTGTATGGCTTATTCTTGAGCAAAATGATTTCTAAATTATTAAGGAATTGTTTTGAAAGGCAAATGAACTATTATATACCTCCAGAATCAGTGCATCTGATCCAGTAAATCTTCAATTTTAATGCAGGGAAAGTTAAACTCTGTAAATTCCAAATTTTGCACTTTTGAACGTACTCCTCATCACTGTTTTTGTAGCACCGAGCTGATGATTGATATGCTCATTTCACTATGGATTTTATCTTCCAAGCTCTATTTGTTAGCCGTATTTTAGTAGTATGTGTAAGTAATTACAAGCTATTATAGCAATATTACCTCTTCTTCTTGTTCTTGGTCTGATTCTGATTCCTTTCAGTTCCAAAATGCCATGCAAAAAGAGAAGGAAAAAACAAAGCAGACAAAATAAAAAAGTTCTAGAAGAAGAGAGTAGGAAAATATAACTTCTGACAACATTTAACAGCAAAGAAGGAAATGCAGTATGTTTCTGCAGTTGATTTCTTACATCAAAAAGCAGCAAAACTAAACTGACAGTTTAAAACACAAAAGGCTACAGAACTGAGCAAATTACAACAGCAAAGTTGTTTCCGCGTGTTAGACTTCCAGTGATCCTTCATACCGCAACTTAATACATATATGTGCTTTTGCATCCATAAATTAGCACAAATAAATAGTTAAAATAGTTCAGAACACTGGCCATTTAAAGTTAAAATATGTTGTGTTATTTTTAAATTATATGAAAAATACTATAATAAAGATTATATTATATGCTAAAAAGGCCAAGAAAAAATGAATAGCAGCAGGCAAGATTTTGGACAAACAGCCTAATACATTCCTAGAAGGCATGCGGCTAATCTGACAAGGACAGCAAAAAAAATATCTGAGTTAGCACAGAACAGCAATAAACTGACTTTTTCTAAGAAAACAAGCACTTCTTATTATCTGATCTAACTTACAGAGCAATCAAGCGCCATCCCATGATGTAGGAAAATTCAGCTGCTCTCAGTCTTGTTATTTATAAGTACTAACTCACACTAGAGTATTCCTCTCCTTTTTCTTCCCTTGACCTTGGACCATTTTCTTCCCCAAGCACATTAATAACTCTTATAACAATATTCTGAAGAAAGAGCATTTACACCATGTGACATGCTCATAGATTCTTGAAAGATTTGATCAGAAGTAGGAAGAAAAGTCAGTGTCAAAAGTCAATGTAATATTAAAGTCTATTCTAAGAAAATACTTTTGACTCTCCTATAAACTTTCCAAATTCTAGAGTTCAGGTCTGCTACATTTTATTTCTATCACCACAGATAAACAAGGCAGTTAGCTAAAAATACTACTGCAAATGCCAATTATCTCTAATTGGTAAATGAAAAAAAAAAGACAAATAATTTCAGTCCTTCTGCACGTCATACCTTAAGAACATAATACGACCTACAGACATTACCCTTATGCTTTGTAAGTATGAAGAGTAGCTTCATCTCCAGAGAGGTGTCACAAGACATGGTTAGACAGTGTGGGAAGTCTCTGGTAAAATAAAACATGAACCTAAAGGTACCTGCTGAGTCCCAGATCTGTCTGGGACTGAACAGAATTTTACCCTGAACAGAATCTGGGTAAAATTTCTAGATGAAATAAGATTAGCACAGATCTAGTGCCAACACCAGTGAAAGCATAGGAGCTATGCAGTGCAAACTGGAATTTGGCTCCCTTCGGTCATTCTCTTCCGAGTCCTCGGAAAACACTCAATAACATCTTTGAACACTAGCTAAGTTGAGTACCAAACCCAAAAAACTGAAAGCCCTTGGGTGGTATTCATGCTTCTTTAAAATCCCTGACTACGAAGCCTTAATACTATTTTGCCCTCCTACTCATTTCTTGCTTTTCTTATAATGCTGATGACTACAGAGCAGTATAATTTCACAATACCTTTGTGTAAATGGGTAAAGTGATGTTTAAATTGCATATGGCTTGATGAACGAGGCCTCTTGTCGATTTTGGCTCCTTCATGAATGATAATCGTCCACAGGGTTCTTGCGTGGTGTCTCGCACCTGGTAGAGCAGAGAGACATTTCATCTGTCATTTTGCTATTTTGCCATAGGATCCACTTGTGCCACTCAAAATTATTTAGCAAAAAGAGGCTAGGTGTGGGAGAAAAAGTCCATGTAGGGGAAAATAACATGTTTCTCTGACACCCCTCACTCCCCTTAAAATTTCTTTTCTTGAAAAAAGTTTTCTCCAATGTATTGATAAATCCTTCTCTTAGAATGAAGAAATTTGCTGGAACATATTTATAGGTGTGATGATTATTATCTACAAAAGATACCACATCATGGCATACTTTAAAATCTCTTTCACAGCTGTTAGTAGAAACAAGTGTAAGCACTTGGAACTTAAGGTACTGGTGATGTACTTTTAGCTTCTGTACATAATGTCAGGAGGATTACATGTGATATTACGGGAGCAACAGGACTGAAAGCATTACCTCATTCTTCATTTTCTGAGCTAATAAAATTATACAATTAGATGCATGTGCATTAACTTTTATCAGGCTAAAAATACTAGATGCAAAGACACACATAGTTTCAAACCTATTTTGGAAAAAGCCATTAGAGAGAAAAATACGCAAGGCCAAAGGTGGCTGGGTGGCAGCAGCCCTCTCTGCTGGCAGCGCAGACCACAGCAAGAGCACTTTTTTCCATGACTGCTCCTGCAGATCTCATGAACGACCCAGATAAGCCCCGTGCACTGTGATGTTTGTGTCACGGGCTCTATAACATTAGTTCCTTTTTGATGAATGGGGAGGAGTTGGCTTGACTTTTGTTTTACAAACTTCCCGATTCACAGAAAAGTTTTTAAAATGGTATAGTACAGTAATATACCCTAAAGAGATAAAATTAGGTTATAGTTGGGAATTCAGCAAAATTAATTACTTTCTTTTTTCTTTGTTATCAAAAATATGGTAAAGCCATAACTTGAAATCTCCAAAAAGGAGCCATGCTTTTCTTACTGTATCCCCGAAGATGTTTTGCATTGCTGCTGAAGGGAGGATGACTGGTTGAAGAACAATTATACCTGTATTTGCAGCCATATGCATATGTATAAGCAGAGGGTACAACAATCCCATTTTGACAAATTTCTGCCATTTCTACAATGTTTTCTGACACTTTTTTGCATTTGACATTTTTTCCTGCAACATATTGAACTGCGATACAGAAAACCGAACAAGACTGAGGTCGATGGCTCTTTAGATTATTAGGTAAAGAACAGGATTCCTAGAAGCACCATTTTGGTGTCTGAAAGAATGCTGTGGACTCCTTCATATACAGCAGAACAGAGGCACAGATCATTATATTTAGAGAAAAAGTATTTTATATTATTATTTAGAGAAAAATTAATTTTATGTAGCTACTTCTGGTGGTTTTGACTAACCAAGTCAACATTTAATCCATTATCATAAAGTAATTTGGGACTGTCCTTCAGTCTGCTAAGTTTATTGTGAACTCAGAAAATAAAAATACAATCCATAGCTCATATTGTAAGATTACCTTAACAAACAGAGGAAGTCTATTTTCTTTGAAGGCAAAAAAACTGAATATATGATGTTGCCCACTCTTCGTTAGTGGCACCAAATTGCCAAAGCAGTCAACATAGATGGGTTTTCCTTCTAATACCTATTGAAAACAAAGAAGCAGCAAAGCAGCAATTAATTGCAGTGGGGTGGTTAGGATTTCTTCTTAAGCATAATTCTACAGTAGTTTCAACCCATTTCTTAAATTGCCAGGACTTGTCATCACTTACAAGGTTTGTTAGGTACAGTTATGTAAAATCTGTGGAAGCATTTCAGATTATTAAATTCCAAATGGAACACACTATAAATTTAATAACAGCGTGACACTATAAATAACAACATGAGTGTTCAATGTCATGAATCTAGCCAAATTTTCAATCTGTATTTCAATATGGATTTTTTTTTTACTGGCTATCATTTTAGTATACTTTGCTAACCTGGTGTTATCATAACAGTCAAATAAATATTTTCTTCAGCAAACAAATCAAAAGTCCTTGTTTTGCCTGACAGGATAATAAGCCAGTCAGGAATTATCATGAAGTTGCAGGGGACCTTTTTACCAATGCAAAAGCTTTCTAAATTACATTACCTATGCGTTAAATCTACTTGCAATAGCCTGTTGCAGCAGGGGAAAATAGTGTATGTGAGCAGATTCTATTTATTTCAGCTGGATTTGTAAAGGCTTAAAGCTTTTGAAAGTCAGGCCTCAGGTAAATGCCTCTCTGAAATGCCTATATAATGATACCGCCTACCTTTTTGGATTGCTGTTGATATGGTCCCTCCACACATTTAAATCTCAGCTTACCTCATTTGGAGATACTCCCTTCAAACTGCCAATACATTAAAGTCACATCCTTGCTTCCCAAAAATTCAGCTTGTCATTTAGTTTTACAAGCCCATATTTTATGTACATGCTCTGCACAAGAAATGCCCGTCAGGGCTTCAGGAACAGCAAGGACAAATTTTTGTAAAGATGGGATTCGCATTCACTAAGCAGAAGAATATGCCATGCATGTAGTTAAAGCACTTTCAATTTATTATCCCTCCTGAGAAAGGTGATGGAGCCAGAAAATTGGCATTTAGCAGGCAAGTTGCTGGTTTCCACAGTGGAAAGCTATTGCCTGTTAGGCAAAGTAGAGCAGAACAGTAATCAAACCTGCTAGATAAACTCCTTGGTAAGCAAAGATGCTGACAAAATGTGACTACTGTTGACTGCCTTTTTGGCTAGTGATATTAATTTATGGAGTTACTGTAAGTTGAGATGTATCTGGCCTTTTTGGCTTTAACTATCTCCCCTTTTTTCACAACAGACACTTAGTATCAGGGTCAGGAATGTAACAGTCCAGCAAAGAACACCACCCTCAAAACTCATCTTTGCTCAGACATTCCTCTAAGAGGAAGTCAGTAACTGAAAAATTCAACGTGTCTCCTGGCAGTGTGCTATAGCGCTAATTAAAACTAAGTAATCATCACTGTGGACCACCACAGAACTAACTGTGAGGTATTTGGATTGAACTAGGGCTAGCCTGCATCAATGGAACTTAGTTTTAGGCTGAAGGAAAAGTGTTTTTACACCCCCTATTTCCTACCTCTCAGCTCGCTGCTGAGTGACTTCAGTCTTTAGTACACCTGAAAACCCCAGCCAAGCTACCAAAAATTCTTACAGACTATTGAATTTTGTTTAGTAAGAGCCATGGGCAATGCTTCCTGCTTGCATAACCAGCCATGTCAAATAGATTTTGTGATACTTAGTTGGCAGTAGCTGCCTTAGTTCTGAATCTGAATCAAAGAAATGTTATCTTGACACCAGAGAAAAGGAAGACAAAGAGCCTGAAGCTGCTGGACGAAATGGTAACTCCCAATTTCATTTTATAACCTGATTTCCTTGCATAAAGTCAGTCTAGTTTCTAAACACGCAGTTTAAGAGGCCCACAATAAAACAGCATTCTGGGAAAACAAATTCTTTCCATTTTGTCCTCTAGCTTTTCTAAGCTTTAGTCCCATAACAGAGACCTCAGACTCAAGCAATTCCATATTTACTATCTCCTTGAATCCAGCTTAAGGCTGCAGTAGCTGAACATAGCTAACCTTTCCACTAGCCTTGTGGACTTAGAGACCAACAAGTGCTCATCAGGAATGGAATTTCATAACTCGTATCTGGCAGCTGCTTTTCCATTACATCTGACAAAAGTCAAAGTTTCCATCTTACCATGACACACGGTACTGCATCAAGATGGTATTTGTTGGCATTATTATTTTTCAGGACTTGTGGCAGATAAGAAGGCAGAAGAAAACACACATTAGAAAATGGAGAAAACTTTAAGATCCTTGTACAGTACCTCTACATCCCTGCTCCTGGCAACTTCAGCAAAATTTTCTTGTTGTTCTAGAGTTTTATCCACCTTGTCATCTGTCATGCAAAAACATCTTAACCGTGCTTCAATGGGATCATGTGATTTAGCAAACACCACAAATTTGGCCATGTAGGGGACACAGATAATCTCTCTGTACACTTGGGAAGCAAAAGTAACAGATTCTTGTGTCTGTCGACAGTCTATTAACCAGAATCTGTAAAAGAAAATAAAGAATTGCATTTATCAGCACAGAAGATGGTATGTTTTGCCACCTTGTCAGCATTAGCTGGTAACGATACCAATTTTAGATAAGTCAGAATAAAGTAGAACAAGTAGTTACCATTTGGGCAGAATAGCCTAAGAAGGTTTATGGTACCCCCTATGTATTTAGGAACATGAATCAAAATCAAAAGGGAAAGCACTTGGACCAGAACTTGCTCTCCTAAATACCAGATGCAGACCCTCCAACAGGGTCTCCTGCTGCACAAACTCCAGGCCACTGTTTGCCTTTCTGACAAGATCTCACTTAGCTGGAAGCTTATTTGCTTCCATGGACATGGCTTTCAAAGGGTTTCAGGAGTTCACTTGTCCTGTGGCAGTCTCATAAACCTTCTCTGAAGATTTACATATATGAACCTTTTTGTATTTTTGTGTTTATAAAATATATTACATTTATAAGTATGTTTCTAGTATTTAAACAATCACTGATGGCTTACCAAAATCAACAAATCCCAGAAATTCATCACAGTATTCAAAAAATGTTTTTTCTTCCATTCACAGGTTGGCTATGGCCTACACTTCATTTTCATCTGAATTGATTCCTAATAGTGAGAATATGTGATCAAATGTTTCCTGCCTTTTACAAAACGATTAAATCTCTTCTAGAATAAATTCAGTGGTCTCTGCTTTCCATCTCTTTGGACAGTTCCTGGTGATGTTTGAAATGATGATTGCTCTTATCGCCATCCTTCTACAGCTGCCCAAAAGGTCTCTGAATTTGTTCTTCTTTACCAAATGTCATTACTTAATTTTCATGCAGAATATAACTAGGGAAGGGCGTACTGGAAGTGTACAGTTGAGATTTCCCACTAACTGTGACTCTGCAATGCATGCTTTTCACCTAGAGAAATACAGGCTCTTCTTTACAGCTGCTTGCTGATAAGCACCTGGTGATGAAGAGAGTAATGCCCCATAAAAATCTTACTAAAATTGCTTGTATCTAGTCATATGCTGAGGCTGTCATTTCTCTTCAAGGTTCTGACTACACTGTTAAACTACAGAGTGGGCATCACATCCCTTTCTCTTTAGCCCCCTGGAATCTTCCCAGGCATTGTACAGTTTCCTGTTTGTTCAGCGCTGAACACATCAGGATACCACCCATGGGTGCTACTGAACTGTGTACAAACTTCTGATGTGGCAGAAATGCTGTGAAAGTTTCCTGGATTTTATGGATGAGGAGCAGGAGACTGAAACAGCTTTTGGTATGTGCTGCTAACCCTTCAATCTGTTCTCCATCTCTAACAGGTGAAATATAAAGCTGCTTTGCCCCAAACACTTGTCTTCTGCCACCTAGCTTAAAGGTTAGCAGTACATTTCTTACGTACAATATCAAAAACTGAGTGTCTTTAGGTCAGTGTAAAAGATTTTATAACACTGCATGCAAAATCAGAAATTATTCTTACATTAATTTAGTCAGGGACTTTTAGCTTTGATTTTGTTGTAAGTTTTTGTTAAGCATATTGAAGACCAGTGATATATAGAATCATAGAATCAACTGGCTTGGAAAAGACCTTTAAGATGATCAAGTCCAACCATTACCCCAGCACTGCCAAGGCTGCCACTAAACCATGTCATTAAGGGCCTCATCTACACGGTTTGTGAACACTTCCAGGGATGGTGACCCCACCACTTCCCTGGGCAGCATGTTCCAATGCCTGACCACTGAAGAAATTCTTCCTAATATCCAATCTAAACCTCCCCTCGTGCAGCTTGAGGCCATTACTTCTTGTCCTATCACTTGTTACTTCGGAGAAGAGGCCAACCCCGCATCACTACAACCTCCTTTCAGGGAGTTGTAGAGAGCAGTAAGGTCCCTCCCAAGCCTTCTCTTCTCCACACTAAACCCCCCCGCCCAGGTCCCTCAGCTGTTCCTCATCAGACTTGTGCTCCAGACCCTTCAGCAACTCTGTTGCCCTTCTCTGGACCTGCTCCAGAACCTCAATACCCTTATTGTAGAGAGGGGCCCAGAACTGAACAGAGGATTCAAAGTGCAGCCTCGCCAGTGCTGAGTACAGGAGGAAAATGTACGTATTTCCGTATCTAAGCTATATTACATTTTGAAGACCCTGAAAGCAGATGCGTCCACATCTGATTCCTACTACCCTTGCCTCACAGAGGTTATGATCATCACTGACTCAACTACTCATTGTAGTTTCTAACATATCCTTTTACCGACAGCATCTTTCTAACGCATACGCCAGTAGTTCCCAGTGTGTAACACATGTACAACAAGTCAAACAAACATGTTTAAAGCAACAGGGAAACATGACCGTAATAAATTACTTCCTCTGCACTGTGTGAAGCCAGAAGCTGCTACTGCAATTTCATTTGGGTACCACCATGACAGAGAAATACTTGAAGATTACAGGATAAGGTCATAAATTGAGTTCACTAATCTAATTCTTACAAATGAGCATGTGCCTCTTACAAAGTATTGCCAGTGCACGTGAATTGGAACAAGCCACCTCAGAACCTGTCAAACATACACAATTACTTAAGACATAACATGGATGTTGCAGCTCAGGCTGGAACTTCAGCTCCCAGAACAGGTCCTTTTCTATCAAAAACTACCTTTCTGTTTACTGAAAAGTACAGGCTTTTTAGCCTTTCTTCAGGCCATTTAGGCCAGGACAACTTTGCCCAGTAATATCCATTTACAGATTTTCCTTATACCTTTGTCAAGACAACTGACTTGTTATTTTGCAAAGGTAACAACTTTTCACTAGAATAATTTTACTTCTCCTCCCAAAATGTAGCAGGGGAAATGCACCAAGCATTTTACAAGGAGTAACACATATCGCCTTCTTTCTCGGATATCATTTCATTTAATTTCTCTGTGGAGCTGATGACATTTCTTTTAAATAAAATTCACTGTGTGGGTGGAAAGCATGCTTGAGTTTGACACGCGTAGGATGGAGACGGAAGTCACGAGAGGTCAAAGACACCTCAAAAGCTGATATAACCAACGGGGGGCTTATTACTTCTTGTAGATTACATGGTATTATAACCCACAAAGCATACCTTTCAAGTGTGATTTCTCTGGTCTTACTCATCTGCAGTTGAATAATAGTGAATTTCATGCTGTGCTTATCTTCAGAACATTTAACAAACACACCGGTTAAAAAACAGGCTGGTGACATTTGAAGAGAGAAAGCATGTTTGGTACATAAAGGCTCTGCAGACTGATACTTTCCTTTTCATGTGTGGGAGAATTATGCTATGCTGGACTCAAACTGGAATGGCTACATCCTCTGAGAAATCACCATATGCTCAAATGATTTGCTGTCATACACTAGGAGCTAAAAAGCCCAAACAGATACTAAATTTTTAGACAAGCTGCAGCTCAGGAAACAGGAAACAGCTATGCCACAAATTCTGCAGCTTAATTTGCAGGCATTTTAGACAAAAGTATCTCTTTCCCAAGCTCATTTTGGACAGCATTTGTCTTACGAATGGGAAAATCATTGTCCATCATTAATGACAGAACTACACATAAACAAGTTATTGTGAATAGCAGTCAGGAACCAACTGAAGCTCAGCAGCACACAAGGGTAGATGCACTTCCAGACCAGCGCACACGTGAAGAAATTCAAGTGAGCTTGTACTTCAGCAAAGAATGTAATAAATTCTTTGACTGTAAATACATTAAAAAATCCCACTTTCTAACTTTCACAGCATTTAAAATCATGTTTTTGTTAAAGTAGACTGTTGAACATTCATTTAGAGTAAAATGCAGAGGTAGAACCCATGAAAACATGGGATCCTGCCTATATAATAGAAAATTAGCAACAGCAATAGCTTCTAATGTGATCATTAGGATTAGGAGACATCCACTACTACTATGGATTGTAGTTCCATAAACTGTCACCCTCATTCTGGATGTATTCCATGTGCAGCTCTGCTAGGGACTTACTATCTTAGCAACTTTGTCCTCTCAAACTTTGTATCTAATCTCCACATCTGTTTCTTAAATTAGTTTTTAATTTATCCATTTAAACAGAGCACTGCAGGTAGTGGATGAGAGCTAAAGTGCACTTTAGGATCTCCCTCTTGTGGCCACTGCTGTTAAAGAAAAAGGTTCAGCTGAACTGAAAAGAAGTGTACATAACGAAGCATCCAATGTAACGGGAAGAAAGCCATTTCTGACCTGAGAAAGTATAGAAAAATAATACCTTACTTCGTTTATTGTTACAGTTATAGTGTAGATTGGACTGCAAGAGCTGAATGCATTTTAACATTCAGTAGATTATTTCATTAAATAGCAAACCTAATATAATAGGTTTATAACTGCTCTGGACATTGAACTTGTGCACTGCAGGAAATTCATTGATTTTCATAGGCAAGTTTTCTGAGATATTTGTAACCATTTCCTAGACTACACACCCTAAATTTAATACTTTCCAGGTCATGGACTGCAGCTCCTAATACAGAGGAAGAGACTTCTGAGCATTTCTGTGATATCAGTCATGGACAGAATCTGAACTAAAATACATATACATATATATTTTTTATATGAAATTCTGTTTTCAGAAAGACAGCAGTTGAATTTTATCACAAAAGCAGATGGTTAGAAGAGATGCTTCTAGATCACGGTTTGGTACACTTACAGGCTTTTCTGTTTGATTTCTTATTTGTTGGATATTCTGGAAGTAGCATCTTTTCTAAGATGGATGCTGAACTACCCAAATAAGGGATTTCTGTTTCCATGGAAATTTGAGTATTTCTGCATCTGGGAGACAAGTGGTATTCAAAATGAAACCATTTTTTTTCTAGCTACCTGAAAATTGAACTGTCCCTTGTCAGGGACTGTAATGATAGCACAAGGGGTGATGGGTTTAAACTGAAACAGGAGAAGTTCAGGTTAGATCTGAGGAAGAAGTTCTCTACTGTGAGGGTGGTGAGGCACTGGCAGAGGTTGCCCAGAGAAGTGGTAAATGCTCCATCCCTGGCAGTGTTCAAGGCCAGGCTGGACAGAGTCTTGGGCGATATGTCTAATGTGAAGTGTCCCTGCCCATGGCAGGGGGTTGGAACTGGACGATCTTAAGGTCCTTTCCAGCCCTAACCATTCCATGATTCTGTGGTTACTATTTCAGAATGAAATGAGTATGTCATTAATTCATTTCTAGGATCATAGCGGGTGGTGACTGCAAAGGACTAATGGCTGAGATAAAAATGACATGATTTTCTTTCTGCAGCCAGTAAGGGCTGCACAGCTCAGGTACATCATCTGTCTCGGCTAGGAGGCTGCAAAATACCTCACCAATTGGTTCACAGCATAAACAAAAGATCTATGTCCCTTCTATGTCACCAACTGAAACAGGTTAAAGGAAGTACTTACTGGGGAAAAAAAAGAAGAAAAAAGACATACACTCAAAAGTAAGACTGTAAAACTCATGTTTTGATGTATAGGTACCTGGCAGACACGTTTGTTGTGAAGGAAACGCATTCATTAACAAATGTCAGTGGTGTTGTTCCAGTGATGTCTTCCCACTGGGCAGGGGTGGTTCCTCCTGAAATGAGGGAGATCAAAATAAACAAAACGTTAAATTAAAACCCAGCGAGTTTGCGACTTTCTTGCTTCTAAAAAATATTTTACATTCTTCTGAGTTTTTAACTGTTATGAAACCAGAAATAAGCCCAGATGTGTCTTCTCCTCAGGCCCATGTTATTCCGCTAATGCTAGTAGGATCATACAGGATTCCCCTAAGAAAACAAAGCACTCAAATGATTTTCAAATGATAAGTCTTGCAGCACAGTTCCAGAAATGTTAAAAAAGGCTGGAATTTGGGGGGGAGAGATCTAATTCTACACTCTTCACATCTGCAGGGCAAAATTGGCCCAGTACAATGCAGTTAAGTTCTTTTTTGAAATTTTCTAGAGGATCCTTGCAGATTTACTGTCCCTCCAAGAAACATATTCAAATTCCACTGTATTGAGGAGACCATTCCTCTCTATTTAAATGCAAATACTTCTTTGATGGTGAGATACTGTATTTCAGCAGCTACCTAACAGCTTTGTATCAAAAAACAGTAAAGGCACAGGTTCCCTGAAATGACTCATCGCACATTTCAGGGTGTGATGTCTCTTATGTTGGGTCAGTATTTGAAATCAGTTTGCAAATTAAGAAAGATGCTAACTTCTAAACAGAATAAATGCATGCAGCTCTTTTCCACCTCTTAACTGAGACTGGATGAGACGTTCGTCACTTCGGAGTTATAGCAAGTACGAAGTGTTTAACTCCAATATTTTCCTTGAAGCGTACTGCAACATTATGTCTGTACTACACTTAGGCTGCTAGGCAGAGGTATGTTGGTTCTCAAGAAACAAACTAAGGAAAATGCAAAAAACACAAGCCCAAAGTCTATGATTATATTACACATCTCTTGTTAGTCCAAACAACAAATGTTATATCTGCTATAAAGGAATTGTTTGGAAAGTAATTTATTTTCATAGGCTCTCATCCCAGTCAGGGTTTCACCAAGCTTTCCATGTATACCATCAGTGTAACATATTCAGCCGACAATGACTGACAATTTCAAGATGCAGATAAAAAGCTCTAGTGTTTGCATCCTACCTGTTATGCTGCATAGTAGCCTTAAAGTAGGCGTGTCGCCTCCATAACCATTCATGATCCCATCGCTGGAGGCCTTAGGGATGGGAATGGTCATCGTGATGGGCTTATGGAACTTCCTTCTCCTGGGCTCCAGTGTGACTATAGGACTGAAGGTAGCCTTGTTGCCTAAAATCTTCTTCGTAAGTTCGGTATGCATAGGTTGAGCCTTTCCAAAACAAAAGACAGTAACAGAATAGGTATTTGAGAACAGTTTTATGAGTATGTAAACAACCAAGCCTGTATATTGCTATGAAATCCTTAAGTTTTTACACTAAATAGTATAATTTCCCTTGAAAATCTGCAGCCAGAACTGACTGCCAGTGAGAAGGAGAAGCCTCCCTTTTTCAACTTTCCCATGCCTTTGTCCTCTTTCTTGGTACTTCTCAGAACCTTTACAGTATTAATTTAATTCACTTAACCAGTAGCAAATGACTTCCTTGTCACCTTTGGGTTTTTTGTCCCCCTTAGAACAAGCTCTGAGCTGTTTTAATTATTCAACTATTCATAGGGGACTTCAGCAAGGACAGTCTCCTGGCAGCGCAAGTCAGGAATGGAGGTAGAGAAACACTTCCCCCTCCTACAGTGGTGAACTGTTAACCTGGTTTACTTCACGCTGATAATCCGTAGATTTGACCCAGTTATTATAACACTTTATACTTCTCTGATGCCTTTCATAAGAAGTATTAAAGAAATTATTCTATGACCTGTTACGCTAACATCACCATCGACTAAATTAGGTGCTGTACCCAAGATCATATAGACAGCTAACAGACAGGAATACCCAAAGTTCTGGCTACTGAATAGAATTTTTTGTTATAATATTTCTACTAGAAGCATCCTAGACAACAACCTACAACATCATAAGCTGAATATGCTGGATCTCCATTCCAAGAAGGTGATCTTACATGGGGCGGGGGGAGGGGGAAGGAAAAAATTATGAGCCCTGTAGTTGTTTCTCTGTACCTGGAGGCCAACACGAATTCTTTTGGTGAGAGCCCCTTCTGGGAAGACGGCCTGCACTTGAGGTACAACAGTGCTGCTCAGCACACCCCCCTCTGGTCCGATGAGGTTACTGTCCTGTTTGATCCGGGATACCACTGCAAAGTACTGAGGGAAATCTCGGGTGATGATGCGGCAGATACGTTTCTTCTCAAGCTCTTCTGGGGTATCAAGTACTGAGGCCAAAAGAGAAGATGGTCAGAAGACAAGAATTTTGCACAAACAATATGGTGAATTTCAAAGCGCATTCAAGCTTTTCACAGTTTAACTGCAACTTACAAAATTATTCTGTCTAGAACTCAAAGGGGAAAAGGAAACATACCCCACCATTTTAAGTTCAGATAAAACAGAGAAATCAAGAAAGGAACAGACAGACAGAACTAACTGAAGGGAGCTTAAGACAGCAAACTCAAAACGTTGAAAAAATCCTCCACATTGGTAGGTAAGCAAGCAAAGGGATATTCTACTTCAAGTGTTCACACCACGGCCTGCAGTAGCATCAAGGAAACTAAACTCCAAATGAAAAAAGTACCAAAGTCTGAGTTCAGCTCTAAGTATTCAGTTGGCTTGTTTATTTTTAGAACTTCTTTTTGTTAAAAAAACCCATCAAAACTAGTAACAAATTCTGCAGATCCTAGACAGCCCAAGGCCATTCTGTTCCCTCCAAAAGCAAGAGTACCCATGACTGACATTTCCTCCCACATATGTAGCTGTTTGGTAAGGATTAGTATGATAATTGCCTTGTTTTGGAAAGATGTTTGTTCTGGCAGCTTTTTGTTCAACACTACGAAAAGAAGCAGTAGAAAACATAAGTCTAGCATCTATTCCCAACTTCATAATAGTGGATTTTGTTTTGTCCCACTACTTCAGCAGAGCACGCAAGGGAAGCACAAGCATGCAGCGCTTCTGCTGCTTTCCGTATCAAGAACATGATTACGCTCTAGTGTGACTGAAATGGAGTATCCAGAAAATGTAGTGTCAGAAATACCAGGATGGTCCAAACATGAGGTGCTAAATAGAACAAACGGTAGAAGGCTATGACCCTCAGTTACACAAGAAATGTGGGAGCAGAAGGAAAAAGTCACACCGGGTACCTTCATCCATCCCATTCAAGATTTCATTCAGTTCATCCTCAGTGTATTCACAGAAGTGCTCCTTCCAGCTGTCCCCGTTCTCACTGCGCAGGATCACCAGCTCTCGCTCTCTCCCACGCAGAGCAGCAAAATGAGGAATCTCCACAATCACAGGCCTGGCACAGCAACACAGCGCATTAAATGCACACAGGAGAGAGGAAGAAACAGGATTAACAGCAACTCTATCCAGTCTGCTACAAAGTGACCTGGAATTCTACCTGTTAAGCTGGAACGCTTCCATATAATCCTAAAAGAGTAGGTCACTAAGACATACTAGATTTTTACAGGGACCCAGTAAATGTTGAAGGACAGATTAAAAAGTGCATTCACCTCATTCCACAGTGTGAATGATATTTGGTAAAATAATTAACAGGAAATTTGGTAATTGTTTTGCAAATTCATAGAAAAACTCATGCTCATTTTAGTTGTCACTACTGTCTGGGTTAACCTGTGCAACTTCATTTCAAAGAGAATCTACTGTAATGCATATCAATAGTGGGACAAATTCTGATCTCACTTATACTAGTACAAATCAGAATAATTCATTGCAACCAGTAGGCTACTGTATTCTGTGCCAATTTTACTTCTATATATTCCAATGAATTTATTCCTGATTTACACTCTGGGAAAGATAAAGGAGGTCTGAGGCGATCATCTGGGTTTCTATTTCAGTATAGGAGATAAGAATTTGCCTTGTTGCCTTACAAGCAGATGTCAATATATGTATCAGTGTATGTGTCCATATATATACACACATATATACAACACATATGTGTACATATATCTAGATTTATATATACATATACATGTGTACTTTTATAAATAAGAGAGAAAATACAAATATATGTGTATATACACTTCTTTAATTAGAGGACTTCCACAGGTTACCATGTACATAGTAAATGCCATGTGTTCTATTACACTGGTGGTATCCAATGTGTAACTTGATACGAAAACCATTTTAAAATTTACAGTAGATTCCTTTTTTCTGTCCCGCCCAGGTTGCTTTGCTACAGACACCAAGCACATAACTAGGAAGATTTCATGCCAAAACAAAAATGAAGGCCACAGGACTTGAAGAAAAAGATACAAACATACCACCAAAACAAAATCACATACCACAAGGGTTGAAAAATGGTCCACTAAGGGTTAGGTATACAAAATTTCAAATGATAGAAAGGGACAATATCATGGGAATAATGAAATAAAAAAATCATATTGCAAAAGGAGGAGAAGAACGGGGAGGTCAGCATCCATCAATTTGTTTTAAGTCTCTCCTACCCAAGGAATTTGGTCCCAGGAGGCCCCAGCTGAAGGATTCGGCTGACCAAGCTTTCTCCCTCATTAAGTGGGGGAGGAGCCGTAGGCAGATGAAGTTTACTGAGTACATCCAAAGCAGCAGTGGAAGAAAGAACATAAATAAGCTTTATGTATTTTTTGTGCCAGAACGCCAGTGCCACCCATCCGGTCCACAAAGTGGAATTAGGCTGTACACTGAATACAGTTTCATCCTAGCGATGACAATTTGGTAATGAGCAAAATTAGTTTCTTTGATTTAGGATCTTTTCTTGCTTATGGGAAGACGAAGGGAATTTTGGCAGTGAACTCAATGCGAACAGGATTCAGATCTTAGAATGCATCTCTGCAAACAGTACAGTAATTTTCTAATTTCACTGCCAGCACAACATCTAGAAAAACTCTTGCAGGAAGGGCACAAAGACCTGAGAATGAATAAAACTATGCTATATCCTGGTCATTCAGGTGAAACATTCTCATCAGGTAGAAGAACCATTAAAAATAAAATGAGAGACACTCTAAGATCAATTTGTGTGTGACAAAAGATAATGGTAAGACTCAATGTGACATCACAATATTTCTTCTGCTCTTTGGGTTTCTTTGTACTTCTCCTTAAAAGTGACCAAGATGTGAAAAGTGGTATAAAGTAACCAATTAACAGCTTTTTGCTGTTACTTGTGATATTACAAGCCAGCCCATCTGTCAAAAGGAATGGTTGGCTTGCTCTTAGCATCAAATTTGCAGTGTATTAGAACTGCTCATGCTTTTTAACCATATTACAGGAACAGTGAAATAGCCAGAAGATGTCTTGGGTATGTTCTCCTTTCATACTCTATAGAAAAGCAGTTGGCAGTTAAAAGCTACCAATCACCTTTTTTCTCTCCCTCAGCTCAAACTTTTAGCAAAAGCACTAACGAAGGTAGTGGCTCTGATGACTACCTGTTATAATAGGATTTTAAAACAACAGATTTGTTCCTAAATGGATTTAAACTATTCCTGTTTACAGAGTTACTCTTCTTACAATTTCTGAATGAAGCTATTTATTGTAATAAGAGGGGTTCCTTGAATCATCCACTTTTGGACGCCACAGTTGATTGGGAGAACAGTTGGTAAAACAAATAAAAAAAGTGTGGAGAACTGCTGCTTTCAGCTGAAAATCGCTACAAGCTCGGCAGCAGCCACAAATCTGATCTTTCTATGGGTTTTGCAGCATAGGACAAAAGAGAGAGCCAAAAAATTCCAGGGTTGTCCTATTGCTTAATTTAGCAATTTCAACCCCAAAAAAATCAAAGGCACTGTGCTTCCCTGATAGTCCAAATTACTGGTAACACAACACAAGTCTCTAAAATAAGCAGCTGTAACTTGTGTTGTACATGTAGCAGGCTCTACGTTTGGGCTTTAGATCAGTGCTGTGCTATTCATGCCTTAGATGCAGATTATTTAAAGGTAGGATGAACTGCCTTTCCTGGCTACAAAGGGTCCTTTCCCACTATAATTCCACAACACTGAGTAATAGTTCTATGCAAGGAAGCACAGTAACCTTAGTGCTAATGGTTAAAATACCTGTTTTCAAAGGAAAAGGCATAAAAGCTTTGTGAATTGTTAACTAACAACTGATTTGTATTTCACACAGCCTGTCTGTTACAAGCATCTTTTTCTATTCAAGTGTTGATAAAGGAACCATTTCAGTGAAACTTGCAAACAGACAAAAATAGACTGAACATTTTCCGTTAGGCCAGATGACAGCCCTTACCCAAGAAACTGAGCACCAGAAGGCCCCACTTCAATCAGGCGGCTGGCCAGACCTTCACCTTCCACCATAGGAGGCATGGTGGCCAGTCTGTGACGTTTCACCAACCGGCAAGTCACTCGTGTTGGAGCAGTGCATTTCCGTGGAGGAATAATGATTCTGAGTCCATTGTGCCTGCAGCCTCTCATGGCACCCCCACGAGCATCCACCATGAAACTAACTAGGAAGCTGAAAAATCAGGGGAAAGAAGATTAGACACAAACCGTATCGCAGTGCCTTTGGTTACGTTCCACATATGTAACAAACTACGTATGTACATATCGCTCTTTCTCAAGATGTACAATCTGAAAACGCCTTTCTCCCATGTGAAGCACCAAATCATGCTAAGATCATTTATTAATTAAACTGACATCTGCTATCTAAGAATTCTTCAGAGAAAGTCTTATTTTACAGTGCTGCTGTTGGGACAAATACCAGCAGTCACTAATAAATGTGAGCAGATGTGTCTGTACTTATTAGAGACAAAGTCAACTGCAAATATCACTACTCTGTACCTGCACGCACCTACACTGTAAATTTGGCACTCTTTAATTATTGAAGAATACTATTTCTGACTCAAGGATATAAAGCCAATTCTGACTGCAGGGATTGCTGGGGTTTTGGGTGTTTTTAGGATATCTATATAATCTTCTAGTTATTTACTAAACTATAATTTCTAACAAAAAATGGGCTTGGATTTAAAAAAATAAAAATCAAATTTCATTATAGAGCATGTGGATACAATTCATATTACATCAGTGGAGCTAGCACCTATTTATATAAAAAATCCAACACATCCTTACTGTTTGAGGGCAAATTCTGGATTTTGGTGAGATGACATTAACTACAGTCACCATGTAAGAAGTTTATTCATGGATTTTTGTCTTTCCGCGTTACTTTCCACAGCAATACAATGTGCCAGTGGGAAACTTACAGATGCAGAAAACCATCTATAGAGAGCCCTCATTTCTTTCTTTTTCTTTAAAAGGGAGAAAAACATTTCATGGAATTTCTTTTGTGCTGAACTTTCTATAGTTCCATATATTACCAACACGTAGATTTTGACAGGTTTGTTACAAAGACTGGGGACATTCTTAGGAAAGGTGTAGAACTATTTCAATTTTTTATTTTTTTTTAAACTGATTTATGACATAGGATCATGCCTGATGTGGGATGGGAATGCCAGGTTGCTGGAAGTGAAAATAAGAACAGATAAGACAGAATGGTATCAGGCCTACTTCTAGCCACTAAAATAGCATCATCACATGGGGAGTCGTAGAAATGCTACTGAAGGACCTGCAATAGAGAAAAGCCCTTATAACAAGAGTAACAAATATGGTATTTTTTTCCACTGCTCCCTTGACCGTTCTGTGCAACAAACATTACTTCCATTCCTTGTCCACACAGCTACAAGTAATTCCACATGCTGTATAAACACAACACTCAACACACCGTGCAAGTCAGAAAAATGGGTGATGGAAAGGAGCCACAAGCGCCAGTCAGAAGCACACCATGCACCACGGATGCCAGTCTTTCTCACACATGCAGTCTCCTATTCTACGGCCATTCATATACCTCTATGTTTTGTTTAGTGTAAAAGTCTGGGTAGTACAACCATTATCTCATTCCTTAGAGGTTGGTGTTTCTGTGGTTTTAACAAGGGGGGAAAAAAGAAAATGAAAACATTTTACAGCTTTGATTCTCTGGGGATTATATGAGAGAAATGGAAGCTTCCTTCACAAAATACATACTTTATACATTTTAAAGCACAGATGAAAGAAGAGCTTAAGAGGTACTAAATGCTCAATTGTTGCAATAATACTGTAGCATTATCAAAGTGGTTCTGAATTACATTTCGGAGAATCAGTCCAAGTCTCTATTATGATGGATGCATTAGAGGTAGTTAATAACACTGAGTGCTGGAAGAGGAGTTTCACATTTTGATGCTAAATACTAGCAGCAACAGAAATACTACCCCCACAATTACCCAAAGCTAATGAGTGCACTTACTGAATTAAATTAGCATTCACATTTTTCATTGTGTAAGCTGTCATAAACAGAATTTTTAGGAGTTATTTCCATCATTGACATAATACTCAAGATTGCATACTTTAACAACAGGATCGCCTTCTTTTGCTGCCCATCACTGAAATATTACTGCTAGGTCATCTGCCTGTCTTATGTCCTCCTTAGCTATCTCCCCATGTGTCTCAGCAATGCCAGCACGGTTAACTGCTAGAAGAATACATAGACATAAAAGTTAAGGGTCCAAATCAAATAATCTCCTCTCCTTTCTGAGTACAATAATGGGTTCCATTGCTTTTAATACAATCCTTTTTCTCCTTGTAGTGATTTCCTTTCAGACTAAGAGATAAGCAGAGTGCTGAAATCATGGTGCCGTCTCATAAAGCACACCTTACTTCAATAATTAAGATAACTAGCTTGTGGTATAAAACTGAAGAAGCAGGATATAAAAGCTGAAGAAGCAGGAGTACTCTTTGATTTTGACCATCTGTAACAAAGTTGTATCTCACCTCACACATTTGTCTCTAGCAAGCACTCAAGATGCAGAGGCATAGCTCTGTGTGTTCAGGCCTTAAAGTTGCAACTCTTTCCTTCAGCTGAAGTTTACTGAATATGCTGGTGGGTCTGTCAGTCAATCTATCACAACACCTATGGGTAATCTATTGCTGTAACCAAGAATTGCTCCAAAGAGTGGAAAAACGGGCCAAGGTAATTATCACTGGAAGGTGGACAAGAAGAAAACTGAATAAAACCAGTAGAGCATTATTATTATTCAGGGTAAAACCAGCTGCTTCTATCATAAGGAAGGTCTATTGTACTTACTAACTAATGGGACACAATCTGGCAAACAGTATACACCAAAAAATAGATTTGTGCTGAATCACGGAAACAGACCCCCAGATGAAATGGGGGATTCCTGAAAGGCTTTGTGACTCCTTCAACTGCTGGACAGCAAATCCAGGCAAACACAGAATTGTGTGAGGACAGCACAGAAAAATTAGTGCCAATTACCACACTAGATATGGAGAAGCCAGTTGATAAAACCAGCTATATACTATGAAATTTCAAAAAAACAGATTTTGGACAACTAGCACAAATTAGTGCAAAAAAAAGAAACTGAAGGGGAAAATTCCTCAGCTCCAGAACCATGGCATAAAAGTTGGAAAGAATAGTACATTGATACAGGACTTGTAGAGCTGACACAAGTATAAAAATACATTCTTTTTCACCATACCACCCTGTTTATTTCCCAACCATTTGTCACATTCCTTTTTCATCCACTTATTAATCCAATTTCTTTTTATTTTCTTTTATTTTTTTTTTAATCAGCACATTTCATGTACTTATTAATACACAATAGGGTCAGGCAAATAATTTGTAACAAAGCATTTTCTGAATCACAGCGGCCTCTTTTTCTGCCTATATGCTACATAACAGGGCATCTGGATGGTGACATTACAGTTCCAGGACTAGGAAAGCTTTGGCCTTTTGAAGGACTGTGTAGATCAACATATAAATAATCTATACGAAACCAGTGCATGACGTAAAACATGCTTTCTGAAATGTGCATTTAGGAAAGTAAAAAAACTGTATGACTAATATAGAGGAAAAGTAAAGTGCATATTAATCATTTTTTGCCCATGCACACATGCATTATTTTTCCTCTCCCTAATGTTTCTTTTGCCAGATGTTGTTAAGTGACAAGGCCGAAATAGGAAGAGATTGTACTCAAATGAACAGACAAAACTAGCAGGAATAATAGGTAGATTAAGGCATCACTCTGGGAAGTGGTACCTTATCACGATAAACTCCCATGGTCAAAAGAAAATAATAACTAATTCTAGCATATGAATAACAAGTTCAATCTTTGCCTCAGTTTTCTCTGCTCTGATTTCAAACTTCCTAAGAGCCTCCTTCTGCCAAAGGCACTGGGCAACCTCTGCTAATGCCAACTTTTTTGTGCAAAAAAGTGACTTTTGGCTAAGTAGGATACATGGATCACACCATGTTCCAATTGCAGGAAGCACTACTACAAGCACTGCCAACCACTACGTACAAAGAATGAAAGGAAGAGGGCTCATTAAAGAGAAATGCAAATGGCTTTGAAGAGTTCAAGAGCCAAAAAAAAAAAAAAAAATTAAAAAATTAATAAAGGGAATTAAAGGGAATCAGAAAGCTCTTACAGGTTATCACTAGAAGATGAGAAGAAAGAGGGTACCCTAAAAATATTAGGCTGCTAAATGTTCCTTACATGCTTTTATGATAATTTATTATAATACTTAAAAAAAAAAATATTTAAAAGAAACTAAAATAACTTACAGGAACTCCATGTAGATATAATAGCTACAATTTTCAAATTAGGTTACAAATGGTTTGATAGGGGGAGGAAAACCTTAGCAGAGACTAACTCGGGCTAGGAGAAATGAGGGAAAACTGAGGAGAGGAAAAATAACACAAATAGGAGAAAACTTTCAGACAGCTGATAAGTAGGAAAAAATTCTTGTGGGCCCTTTAAAATATAAAGGTGGACAAAATAACTGAACTGATTGATCAAGCAATGCATCAAAATAACATATACTTTCCATCAGCAAAAGTGTCCATTTCAGAAGATGTTTAAAATCTCCTTCCTGTAATAACTATATAGAGTGGAAGCATCCTTCTTTAGCACTGATTTCAGTTTATCTTGGCAGCTTATGGCAAGAACTTAAATTTCAATTAAGTGATGACTCAAAATCAAAGAAGATTATTGGTTAAAGCAGCAAAGTCAAAATTTGTATGTCAAGGGAAACCAGGGCAACACCACAATGATCTTCTCAGCACTCTTAAAGAGAATGAAGGGGAAATTGGGATTATTTTATTTATTTATTTATTTTAATTGACAAGTAAATAACAAAAGCAATTCTTTTCTAGGAAAATGTTACAGACTGCAGGGGAGTCTATACATGCTTCTGTTAAACTCATGGTTAGATCAAGCATCATCCAATGTCTTCTAATTTAGCAATATTTACTCATAAATTAGAGAGGTCTTTTCATTCTCTTTAATTCTAGAGCAATTGAAAACTACATACTTGCCATATGAAAAGTAACTATATCAAATAACATTGGCTACAGCATCATTCTGGCTGAGGACATATATAGAAGGCCCCTAAATCTTCCATGTAGAA